ATACATGCAGGAAAGACACTCATACACATAAAATAAAAATAATAAATTTTTTTTTTTAAAGGATAGAATTGAGCCAGGCATGGTGGCGCACACCTTTAATCCCAGTACTTGGGAGGCAGAGGTACATAGTGAGTTCCAGGACAGCTGGGGCTACAGGCAGACCCTGTCTCAAAAAGATAGGGAGACCCTGTCAAAAAAAACAAAAACAAAAAAAAAGGACGGACTCTTATTGGAAGTGATAGTTTCAAAAGATTTAGGGATAAGCCAAGAAGAGGGAAAGAGAAGTATTCTAAAGAGGGGACAAGTTTGTTAGACATATTTCAGGTGCTCTAAGTAATCTGAGCAGCTGGAGCAGAGGGTGCGTAGGTGGAGAAGTACTGGAAATGAAGCCTGAAAGGTGGGCAAGAGGATTAGTCTCGTCTAAGCAGAAGAATTTGGACTTTTTTCTTAGTGCTCTGAAAAATTATAATGAGTTTTGGTTAGAGAAGTGATAGAGCTTTGCATTCTAGAACAATAAATCTAGTAACTATAATATGTAATGAATTTAAAGTAATCAGACAGGATTCTTTTTCATTGATTTTTTTTTTTTTGAGATCATCTCATGTAGCCTAGCCTGTCCTCAAACTTATTATGTAGCCAAGAATGACCTTGAATTCCTGATTCTCCTGCCTCTACCTCAAGAATACTGGGATTACATGCATGTGCCACCACACCTGTTTTATATAGTGTTGGGATCTAACGCAGGGTTTCATGTAGGCTTGGCAAGCACTCCACCAACTGAGCTACACCCCAACCCATGACTAGATCTTTACAAACATGACATTTATTCTAGTTAGCAGTCCTGTAAGACTAGTTGTTTCCTTCACTTTACAGGTGAAGAAATGGAGTGGTGGCCCTATTTTGCTCTTTTTTTTTTTAGGCTTTTGCTCCTCTGGTCCTAGGTATTTTTTGCTTTTGTTGTTAGTATGTGGTTTTGGTTTGGTTTGATTTGTGTTAGGGGAGGGGGCAGTTGTTGAGGGGTGTGTGTGCGTATGTGTAACATTTTCTTTCTAAATAATTTTTTTTTAATTTTTCTGTATATGCGTATATTGCCTGCATGTAGGTAAGTGCACCCGTGTCTGCAGTGCTCTCAGAGGTCAGAAGAGGCCATCGGATCCCTTGGGACTGGAGTTACAGATAGTTAGTTGTTAGCTGCCATGTGGGTGCTGGAATTCGAACCCGGGTCTTCTGCAAGTGCTTTTAACCGCTGAGCCATCTCTCCAGCCCCTCTAAATAATTTTTTAATTTATTTTTATTTTATGTGTATGAGTGTTTTGCCTGCATGTATATAAGTACCATGTGTGTGCAGTGTCCACAAAGACAAGAAGCGGGTGTTGGATTCACTGGAACCAGAGTTATAGACAGTTGTTAGCCTCCATGTGGGTGCTGGGAACCATGAGGGTATAGGTCCTCTGCAAGAGCAATAGATGCTCTTGACCACTGAGCCCCTAGGTTGTTTTTTTTGTTTTTTTGTTTTTTTGTTTTCTTATTTTTTTAAACTTTACTTATTATTTTTATTTTACGTGTATATGTGTATTGCCTACATGTAGGTAAGTGCACCCATGTAGTGCCATGCCCGTGGAGGTCAGAAGAGGCCATTGGATCCCCTGGGACTGGAGTTATAGTCAGTTGTTAGCTGCCATGTGGGTGCTGGGATTCAAACCCGGGTCTTCTGCAAGAACAACCACTGTTCCTAACCACTGAGCCAACTCTCCAGCCCACATCCCCTGGTTTACTTTTTGAGACAAGGTCTCACTATGTAGCCTAGGCCAGCCTAGAGTCTGCTATATATCCCTGACTGGCCTTGAGCTCACAGTCCTGCTTCAGTTTTCCAAATGCTGGGATAACAGACATCCGCTGACCCTTTTGTTGGGCAAATGGCCCAGGCTGAAAGAGGAGAACTGGGTGTTTGGGTGATTGTCAAGATTCTCTAGCTCTCTTTGGACCTAACAGGTATCTGTCTAGCCCTGTGAAGTATTTCATCAAATGCTGTATGTTATATAGGCTGGGTAGAATCACTTCAAAGAAATTAGACAAAAAGGGTCTTTGAAAAGTGAGCCAAGTTCAAGTGAACTAACAGTCTTAAAGACGTGCTTTTAGCTTCACTCTACTGAAGAAAGTAAATCTAGGACACTGAATATAGGTCAGGAGTCAGAGTTCCAGCACAAATACGACCTTTTTCTTTCTTTTTTTTTTTATTTTATTTTTTTTTAATTTTTAATAACTACATGATTAGAAGAAGCATTTCATTACAGCTTTAACATATTCAGTAACACACTCCAGAGCAAGAGTACATCTCTTTCACAAGTGGGTGTAAGTTTCTGGTTCACAGTTGAATTAATATAATTATACAATATTGGACTCAGTCTAAGCCCTGTAAGACATAAAATTGAATGAGTTTTAACCTTTAAAAAAAGATCTCCATTTCATTTTAGAATATATTGTTCCTTGCAGAAAGACTCAACTAACACATGTTTGCACATGTGTCTTTAATCTCTATGTATCTGATTATAACTCACTTGGATCCTTGGCGCCTGTGTATGTCTATAAAGTCATCAGGTACATTTCAATGGTAATGTTTATCACCTCTACCAATTAACATGACGTAAATTTTCATGGTTCCTCCTCAAATATAATACTTTTTATTTATTTATTTATTTATTTATTTATTTATTTTTGTCTTTTTGAGACAGGGTCTCCCTGTAGCTCCAGCTGTTCTGGAACTCACTATATAGACCAGGCTGGCATTGAATTCACAGATAGCCACCTGCCTCTGCCTCCCAAGTGCTGGGATTAAAGGCGTGCACCACAACACCCGGCCATTTTTTTTAATTTGTTGATGTGTGTGTGTGTGTGTGTGTGTGTGTGACAGAACACCCCAAACCATCTTATTCAACTATACACCCACTTCCCAGATGGCACCCTCCCATAGCCTCTCTCCCCCCATTAGAGCCCTTGTACTCTGTTATCCCTGCTACTGTCTGCTGTGTTGTCGGCACCTCAGCCATTCCCCATTACTTGTCCATCTGGTGAGTCTAGTCAGCCTATCTAGAGGGCTTTGTTTTAGGAAGGTCAGCTGTTCCTCATCTAGCAGCAATCAGTTAAGCAATCTTAATAAGATTGGGGTCTGCTGTTCACTTACCCAGTTCTGTGCCGGGTTGCTATCTGGCAGTCCTTGGGCCACCCTGGCCAACAACTCAAAAGAAGGTATCTCCTTTTTGGCATTGTTGGTTGTTATGTAGCCTTTAGCTATACATATGGACTCTTAAAAAATTATATTGGCCCCTTTAATCTTTGGTTATACTTTCCTTTTGGGTGTTTAAGGCCATACAGTTGGCCCAGATAAATCAATTTATTTTTACTCTTAAGGTCATTTGAGGATCTGTTCCTCGGGTTACATGGGCTTAGGAGGAGCCCCTGGCTCCTTTCTTTTACCAGTTCCGCCTATGTATTTATTATTTTTATTTTACATGTATGTGTGTATTGCCTGCGCATAGGTATGTGCACCCATGTCGTGCAATGCCCACAAAGGTCAAAAGAGGCTGTCGCATTCCCTCGGACTGGAGTTGCAGACAGTTGTTAGCTGCCATGTGGGTACTGGGATTCAAACCCGGGTCTTCTGCAAGAACAACCAGTGTTCTTAACCACTGAGCCGTCTCTCCAGCCCAAATATTACGTTTTTCTTAAGTGATTCCAAAAAGTCTATAACTTTTCAGATCATTCATATCCCACTAGTTTAAGGTTTGTATCCACTTGTACAAAAGCCTTATACAAGTATTGCACTTGATGTGCTTCTTAGATGTTAGTCATCCATGTAGCCTATTTCCATATACTCTTGAACTTCCTGAGGATCAAGACCCACTGGGTTGTCTTATTTTCTGTTTCTGATTGCCATAGTAATTTACACTTTGCATTGAGAAGAAAACAGGTTATCTAAAAATAAGAGGTAAAAAAGTTATTTCTTATTGTGATCTTTGAATCAGTTAACTCCATTTTCCTGAATAGGAATGAGTCTAGCAAAGCAAACTTTGAAACTCAGAGTGAATTATTGGTGCCTTCTTATTTTAAGATCCAGTTCAAATCCAGTGTTTACTGGAAGAATGATCTTGGCAGGTTAATTAGCCTCTCCGAAATTCTGACACACAAAAAGGACTCAGCAGGTGCGAATGCCCTCTTCTTTCGTGCCTCCTGCTGCCACCTCCTGCCTCCTTCCCAGTAGGATCTTCAGATATAATTTCCAGATCATATTCCAATGATAAAAGAGAGCTAAATTCAGCATTGGGTCAGCTTCCTGACGGGAAGAAATGTAAGAATAGGAGCCTGTGGAACATGCAGAAGAAAAGGCAGGCTGCTCCTGTCTTCCTACCAATTTGCCCTCGGCGTCTGAATTCCTTTCCACAGCAGCTCTGCCCACTAGGCATTTGGTTTTGGCTTTACTTCCATGTGGGTGCTTGGATATAGTAGGGCCAGAGCAAAATATTTTCATCTGTACACCAATATCAGTTTATTTTGCCAAAGTATTTTGGGTCCTATGGTCCTATCACAGCAAAGAGGACCATAAGCACCCTCTGTGAGTATTTCCTCCCAAATGAGAACTGTTCTTGGCTCCTGCTTGCCTGGGCTGATTCCCCTCTGTTCTCTTGCAGGTGTGTATCCTCTGTTTGGAAGAAATGCTTCCGACCTCTCCGGAGCCGCCTTGCGCGTTCATGTGGTTCTTTCCCCAGTTTCCCCACACACTGAGCCCACTCACGAGCTGGACTCCATGGACTACAGCAGCCACAGTGAGTCTGAACAGTGCCCCAGAAGGAATGATGAGATCCAGCTCTCGCCACCCAATGGCTTGCAGAAGTCTCCTGCCTCTACCCAGATCCCCTGTAACAACACCACAGCTGAAGTGTGCCCAGCCCAGGAGGGGTCTCCTGAGTTGGATGGAACTTTCACAGTCAGTATTCTGGTGGAGAGAGCAATGCACTTGAGCTTGAAAGGTATGCCCTACGTACTTACCCCCAAGCTGTCTGTTATCTGATTCCTCAGGGTGTGGCTTTCACACTGTGCCTAGATCTGCAGGAATAGTTCATTCCTTTAGTCAATAATGTATTTCTCAAGCCTAAAAGTTTAAGTGACATGAAAGCTGACCTTGTCATTTATCCTAATGTTGAGTATCATAAATTCCCCAGTCCAGAAACCCAAGTATCAGTCTAGATGCTTCCCTTTCCCTTATCCACCATCAAATCATCATGTTCATTAAATTGCTGTTTCTGTTTTTTTGGTCTTTTTGAGAAAGTGTCTCCCTGTAGCCCCAGCTGGCCTCAAACTCACAGAGAGCCACCTGCCTCTGCTTCCCAATTGCTGGGATTAAAGGCATGGGCCACCATGCCCGGCCACTAAATTTCTGTTTCTTAAATGTCTCACAGATCCCTTCCTCCTGATTCCAACTCACTCAGGTCATCGGTATGCACCCAGGACTGGGGGTTCCTAGCACTACATCTACAAATCCCCAAAGGATTCATAAGTAATACTCAGAGTTACTAACCTTAGATAGGAAAATAATTCTATTTTTATTTTTTGTATCTAATAATTAAGCTTTAGCATTTCTTCTAATTATGAGTGTAGGAAATAACAGTGCCCGTGATGTTAGCAACTGTAGAAATTACAAGCTTCTTCATGTTCTTAAAGTTAGTATGTCTTGCAATATCATTTATACTTACCAGTTCTTTGAAATTACAGAGCCTATTACCATAGCTAGATCTTATCAGTAAAATATATGTATTTCTATATCTTAAGGTTCTAAGTTTAGATAAGTATTAGTCTAACTGGATTTCTTTATAATCCTATGTAGTTTACATTATGCATTTTAAAGAAATATCATTAAAAGAAGGCCCATCTGCTTCACCAGAATACCAAGGGATTTCTGCAAAAAGAACCCTCCCTGCTTTGTTTAGCCTTGCATCTCCACCAAGATTTTCCCTTGGCAATCACCCTCCTCTTGCCTGCTTGATCCAGCTCCTCCTGAGGCTCAGATTGAGCATTACCTTATTCTGGAAGTTTCCTGATACAAGGCTCCCCTCCTCTTCATCCTCTTAACACTTTGCTCTTTTTATCATAATGCCTATCAAATGATACTGAATTTTTTCCCATGGTCTTCTAATCTGCTATATAGCAAGAGCTCTGAAGAGCAAAGACCTTGTTTGTTGACCATGCATTCACTCATGTAGCAGCAAGACAAACTAGTATTTGCTATGTAAGCAACCTCTGTTCTTAGTACCAAGGATAGAACAGTGAACAAAGTCAAAAACCATGCCCTTTTGGAGATTACTTTCTAGTAACATATTCATCCCATGTACCCAGTTCAGTATATTACGTGTGCTTAAAACATAGAACAAGTTACTTTTGCTCTGCTTTGAATTTCCAATCATTAAACAGCCATGATTAGCCATCTGAGATGTGTGGTTGCAATGAGAGCCAGATACCTTTATGAGCTGAGTCCAGAAGGCTTTGGTATACACCTTTTGGTTTAGCTTTCCTATTTGGCTCCTTCTTTTGGTCTCTCAAATTGTGCCATGTATCCATTGCTTTGGAACAGAAACAAAACTCATGTTTAGAGTAACTAACATTTATCTTTCAGCTCTACTTCTTCCCCATCACATGGTTGCTCAGCTTCATGTACTTGGACAGAGCATCATGGAGGCTAGAGCATTTAACATGGGTTCTTCATTGCTTCTTGACCAAAAAAAAAAAAAAGCAGAGAGAATGGGAGAGAAGATCCTAGGACAAGATCCAGCCCCAAAGGACACACTACCAGTGTCCTAATTCCTCCAGCTAGGCCCAACCTCCTAAAGTTCCCACAGTCTCCAAAAATAGTACCACCAGTTGGGAACCAAGCGTACAACACATGAGCCTATGGGAGAGTTTATTCAGGCCTAGTGGCTCTTCAGGTGGTTGTTGCTTCCGGGATTCTCCAGTGGCATTTTCCTTCTGCCACTAAGATTATATGTCTGGTCAACAAGTCTGACCTTTTCTCCACTGATCCAAATGCTCTGTTGTCTCACATCACCTGCAGTCTTGGTAATGCAGCACACAGGGTCCGGCCCAGCTGCAGTCAGTCTTTCCGGCTTCATCTTGCTTCCTCACATTCAATAACTTGTTTTGTGCCTATTGCCCCTTTTTGTCTCAAGGCTATTAAGTCTTTGTGCTGTTTCTTCTACTTAAAATGCCTTTCCCCCACCCCTCATTGGGCACACATACTCCTCCTTAAAAGTAGGATAACAAGATGCCTACCCTGTGTCACACCTATTAGCAATAAACCTGCCTCTGTGCTGCAAAGCTTTCCTGTAACGTCACCACACTCTCACAGTTCCCTCTTTTGTGTGCGTGTGTGTATTATTATTATCTTATATTAAAAATGCCTGTTAGTATGTCTCTGATTCTAGTCTTTGGGTCAGGGTGTATGTTGTTTGTTTCTGTGTCCTAACATCCTGATCCTCATTATGCAACTGAGCAAATATAATATCCTCCTGTTCTATGAATATGAGAGCCAAACTTCTCACATTTCTGGTATGAGTTAGCAACTTGTAAATCACTGGTTACTCCACCTTTTGCTTTATAGCCAGGTCACAGCATGCATCAGGGTGGACACCTGACTTTCAGGAATTTCTTGATATCTACCCTTACAGTGATAACCCCATGTAATCCAACCCCCCATAAGCATGTGTACATCAGTACCAGGGAAATGCAGACCTGCCACTTGTCACTCTGAAATGTACCTTCTAACTGGTGATAAAATAGAGCTCTGGAATGGGGGGTCAGAAGGCTGGGTTCTGGCCTTAGCTGAGTTGTAACTGCATTGTGACTTTGAGCAAACCCATTTCTAATTTTCTCAGCTATCAGGCGATCATATAAGATCATCACTAAAATTCTCTTCCACTCTCATCTTCTAAGAATATGGGGCTGGGGGCTAGAGAGATGGCTCAGCAGTTAAGAACACTGACTGTTCTTGCAGAAGACCTGGGTTCATATCCCAGCACCCACATGGCCACTAATGACTGTCCGTAACTCCAGTTCCAGGGGATCCAACAGTCTCTACTGTCCTCCACAGGCGTTGCATGACACAGGTGCACTTACCTACATGCAGGCAATACACGCATACACATAAAATAAAAATAAGTATTTTTTAAGAAAATAAAAATATGGAGCTGAGAGAATGTGTCTTGCTCTCTGTGCACTAGTATAACATGTCAAGCTTTTGCAAAAATTATTACATGCTTCCTTGGGGTCACATTGGATTTCCTCCTGCCTCCAGCAGTGTTCTCATTGTGTCTAAACTTTTCAAGCCTTAAAAGTTCTTCATTGTGGGAGGAAATGAGTGGTTCCTTTGTATGAAGCTTCATGCTGAGGATTTACAAACAGCCCTGAAGCTTAAATATAGAGCAGTTTGAAATTTTGCATGTTCCCCACTGTGGTTGTGGTCCTGAGCTTCTTGGATGCATTTGTTACAAAATTTCTGAGGAGTCCTTTAAAAATTAACTTCATAGCAGGGGCATGGTGGCACATGCCTTTAGTCCCAGCACTTAGGAGGCAGAGGGAAGTGGATCTCTGTAAGTTTGAGGCCAGCCTGGTCTACCTAGTGAATTCCAGGCCAGCTAGGGCTACAGGGAGACCCCTGTCTCAAAAAGACCAAAAAAAAAAGGAATTCATGCCCAGAACAGTGGTACAGACTTTTAGTCATAGCTGAGGCAAGAGAGTCACTTGATACCAGGAGTTCAGGGCCAACCTGGGCAACATAGTGAGATCTTATCTAAAAAGGGAGGGGGAAAGTCAGCTTCAATACTCTTAATATTTATGCATTTACATTAGACAGGTAACTCAAGCCCTGTTTCCAAATGAGGCAGTTGAAGAACAAAGAGATTAAGTGCTTTGAAGTAATGTAAGTTACAGCTGTAGACATTTGTTACTGCATGGTAATTAGCTGTCTCCCCCAGATCAAGAATCAAATCTGACTCAGCGTGTGCCTGTTTAACACAGAAGAGATGTCAGTTATTGTTAGCTTCATAGAACTGAACTCATTTTTATTTTAAAATATTTAGTGTGTACATGTGTATGTATATTCATGTGGGCACATATATGCCATGTGTGCATGTGGAAGTCAGAGGACAAGGTTCTCCCACCTTGTCAAGGAAGAGTCCTTGTTTCTGCTGCAGCCCTCCTGCAGGCTGCAGGTCAGCTGGCCATGAACCTCCATACAGTTCTCCTATCTTTGCCTCCCCACAGTGAGAATGCTGGAGTCATATCACAGTTGCACACCACCACATCTGGCTTTTTATACATGGGTACCTGGGATAAAACATCAGGTTTGCTCTGTGTGGTTTGCTCTTTTACCTGCTGAGCCTTCTCCTGGCCCTGGCCTAAAGGTTTTTTGTTTGTTTGTTTGCTTGTTTGTTTTGCTTCGTTTTTCTTTTTGAGACAGGGTTTCCCTGTAGCCTCAGCACCTCTGCCTGGCAAATGCTGAGTTTAAAGGCATGTGCCTTTAAAGGGTTTTTAACATACAAAACTGTGCACCTTTAAAAGGTTTTTAACATACAAAACTATCCTTTAAAACAACCAGGCAACCTGGCTGATCCTTCTAAATGCTAGCTCACAAGCTGTGCCCTCAACAGGCCACTTTGCTTCCTTCCTCTTGAATTGCCTGGGAGAGATACCTATCTTAATTTTTCAGAGGTATTACCAACATGAGTTTAGTTTGAGAACAGTTTATAAACTAGAAAGTTATCCAAATACAAGTTGTGGTTTTAATCTCATTGAAACAAGTTGGCCATTTTTAAAATTATTTATTATTTTTATTTCATGTGTGTGAGTGTTTTGCCTGAATGTAAGTGCACCACATATGTGCAATGCCCCACAGAGACCAGAAGAGGGTGTCAGATCTCCTGAAACTGGAGTTACAGGTGGTTGTTAGCCACCATGTGGGTGCTGGGAGCCAAACCCAGGTCCTCTGGAAGAACAGCAAGTGTTCTTAACCACTGAGCCATCTCTCCAGCCCAATTTGGCCATTCTTGATGCATAAAATGCTTTTCATACTTATGTAAAACATTGGAAATAAGCTGGGCGTGGTGGTACACACCTTTAGTTCCAGCACTCAGGAGGCAGAGGCAGGTGGATCTCTGTAATTTCAAGGCCAGCCTGGTCTACATAGTGAGTTCCAGGCCAGCCATGGCTACAAGGAGACCCTGTCTCAAAAAGACAAAAAAAAGAAAAGAAAAAAAAACATTGGAAATAGAGTGAAAACTTTTACATGGTATGAAGCTGGCTTACCACAGATCTTCTCAGCTGTCCTTAATTTGTGTTTCAATTCTGTACAGGTAAAGGGAGTTTCTGATCCACCTCCAAAAGTGAATCAGAACTTGACCTTTTCCAGAAATGTAAGCAAGCCCAGATAAATTTCTACCCACAGGGGAGGGTCAGGGAAACCTTATAGATCTGCTCTTACAAAGAGTAGCTTCAAAAATAAAACTTAAGATGGGAGCTGGGGAACAGTGCTGTGAGAAAGATCAGAGGGGTAAGTTTATTCTAGAGCCAAATGTGAGTGGCCATGGCTGGGGAACACAGATTTAAATCACCCCAGATCCATGTTCCAACGTGGAAGCAGTTTCATGAACTTTTTATAGTAACAGAACAGAGAAAGTCCTAAATCCCTAAATCAAGGCACTTCTCAGCTACATTAGTGGAAGCATCAAGTAGGCAGTTACAACAAAGTAGAGAAATCTTAGCCATAGGCCTCAGATGCTATCTGATGACACTCAGCCTCCTGATCAGTATAAACTAGGATTTTGTTGATCCAAAAGTTTTTATGTTAGTCCCAGGATATTAGGTCCAACACAGAGGTGGGCAAGGAATGACTATTTAGCCCAAGATAAATTGTAATTAGACTCTGGACCTCCACAAACTCTCCACACCCATTGACGTTCTAATCAGTTAATCAGCCTTGCAAAAGGTTCAGTTTGAAGATGCAGTATTTTTGTTTTCAATGAGAATTTTTGTTCACAGCATCTAGAATTAGAATTTTGTTTTAGGAAGTGTTTTGAGAGATGTGTTCCCAGGGGGCCAGGGTGAAGTGGCAGAGGGCAGTGATGGAAAGGTCCCGAGGGAGCCAGACATGGAGCACATGCCTGTAATCCCAGCACCAAGGAGACTGAGGCAGGAGGATTGTGAATATGAGGCCAGCTTGGATTGTATAGTTGGGAAGAGTAGGTGGAGAGAAAGGAGGAGGGAGATTTTCAGATAGACGAGTACTTCAAGCCAAGACCAAAGGTAGGAAAGAGCTAGAAACGTCCTGCTGGTACCCTTGTGAGGCTTCTTAACTGGGTCACAACTCCAGTTACATAACTAAATATAGGAATCATGAAATATTAGGCAGGAGGAAAAGCTTCCTAAATATTTAGAGACCAAAAATTAATTCAGAATCAGATCTGAAATGAATCCGGGGTATTTCTGGCAGCTTTGCATTGCATGACCTCATTATAACCTTGGTTCTTAGCACACAGCATGCCAATGAACACTACCTGGACAACTTAACTTGGGTTTGAGACTATTGTGTGCTCTGAACTGTGGTGTTTTTACTACACAGTGTTTTCTGCATGACAATTTGATTGTGGAAAACAAAGACTTTTAATGTTTTCTTATCATTTTTCAGCTGGTATCAAATTAGTTTATATCAGGATTATGGTAGAATGTTCATTTTTTAAAATTGCTGTTTGAGGTTGGGTGTGGTGGCACATACCTTTTAATCCCAGCACTCAGGAGGCAAGCTGATCTGAGTTCAAGCCCAGCCTAGTCTACATAGTTTCAGGCCAGCTGGAGCTACAGGGAGGTCCTGTCTCCAAAAGACTTTTTTTTTTTTTTTCGGTCTTTTTGAGACAGGGTCTCCCTGTAGCCCCAGCTGTCCTGGAACTCACTATGTAGACCAGGCTGGCCTTGAACTCACAGAGATCCGCGTGCCTCTGCCTCCCGGGGTGCTGGGATTAAAGGCGTGCGCCACCGTGCTTGGCTTAAAATGAAATTTTTTAATGATTTGTTATTGGTAAATGTCAATCTCTGTGCCTATTTTATATACCTGTATATCAAGTCACATAAAAATTTCTTAGTCGGGGAAAAAAAATTCTCAGTTGGGCTGGGTATGGTGGCACATGCCTTTAATCCCAGCACTTGGGAGGCAGAGGTAGGTGGATCTCTGAGTTCGAAGCCAGTCTGGTCTACATAGTGAATTCCAGGCCAGCTGGGGCTACATGGAGACCCTGTCTCAAAAAAAAAAGACTACAAAAAAGATTTTCCCAATTGGAAAGGAGTCACAAGTAGATAAAGTTTAAGAGGCCCTGCCTTCAAGTACAAATAAGCTGCTCCACCCTGTTTCAGGGAGCCCCTTGACAGAACGGAAAGTGTCCATACCCAGTTGCTGTGTATCCTTCGCTACAGCCACTGAGCCATCGCCTGTGTATACCCATGTGGTTGAAAATACAGACTCACCCATCTGGAATTTTCAACAGCAGTCAAGGTTTGTATTTTTTTATGTTTATCTCCCTTTTAGAATCCAAGCTTTTTGTTCCAAGAAACAAACTCAGAGCAGTGAGCATGGTAGATACAAGAGTGTCTGAGCAAAGCTGGAAAATGCATTCTTTTTTAAATATATTTTATTTATTATTTTTATTTTATGTGTATGAGTGTATTGCCTGCATGTATGTGAGTGCACCCGTGTCATGCAGTGTCACAGAGGTCAGAAGAGAGCTTCAGAGTCCCCTGGAACTGGAGTTAAGGACAGTTCATAGCCACCATGTGGGTGCTGGGAATTGAACCTGGGCCCTCTGCAAGAGCAGTCAGTGCTCTTAACTGCTGAGCCATCTCTCCATTCCCGGAAAATGCATTCTTATGCAGGCAGTTATTTAACCCCAGTGCTTGGAACTCATGGTTAGCAGTGGCTTGAAGGTTTGTTACAGTGTTGGCTTCACCTACGTAGACCAGGCTGGCCTTGAACTTACAGAGATCCACCTACCTCTACTGGCACAGTGTTGACTTTTAAAAATTTTTAAATTACATTTCTTTATGTGTGTGTAAGCTTGTATATATGGATAGGTGGATACATGAATGCCAAGGTGTGCATATGGAGGTCAGAAAACAGTTTGTGAGCTGATTGCCTCCTTCCAACATATGTGGGTTTCAGGGGTTGAACTTGGGTCATCAGACATGCAGCAAGTACCTTTAATTGCTGAGCCATCCCGCCTGCCCTGTTGCAGTGCTTTTAACTCTGGCTGGTACAGTTCAAAAATGCTCCGTGAAAGACAGCCTTTTGTTTGTCCTACTCTGTTGTAGACAAAGGGAATTGAAGATGAGATTCTCACAACTGTGGAGTTATGGTCAACCTGGGTAGAAAGTACAAATAAAAATGAAAGGTTAAGCTCAAGTGTGATAAGTGATGTAAAAGAAGTAAAAAGGATGCTCAGAACAAAGACTGTTTAGACCAACCTGAAGTTCAGAATAGGCTTCGTAAGTAAAACTCCTTCATTAAATACTGAAAGCGTGTACACAGATTGTCAGACAAAGGAGGGAACAGTACTCTAGGCAGAGAGAACTAGTTTCAGTAAGAGCTGAAAAGATGTTTGATGTAAAAGAGAGATCCTGGTCTTTGGAACCAGAGAAACTTGGCCTCCAGCCCCATCCCTATCATATACTAGCTGTGTGAATAAATATGTACTATCTCTAAGCATCAGATTCCTGTAGGGTAGAGAGAATTTTATAGGTTCATTATAAGATTAAATTAGTTGACTTTTGTTTTGTTTTGTTTTTTGATTTTTGAAACAAGGTCTCACTGTGTAGTCCTGGCTGGCCTGGAACTCCCTATGTAGACCAGGCTGGCCTTCATTTCATAGAGAGCTACCTGCCTCTGCCTCCCAAGTGCTGGGGTTAAAGATGTGTGCCAAGCCGGGCATGGTGGCACACGCCTGGCAAGATGACATTTGCAAAGTTACTGCATGATATATGTGATATATGCAACACGTGTTGGAATTCATGAGTCATAGCATGTTGCAGGACCACTTAGAGGTGGCAGCTGGGATAGGAGCCCACAGCTGGGGTACCTTCATTTTCTTCCTACTAGTCATCTTCCTGTGGGTGCTAGTCAGGCATGTGGTGGCACATGCCTGTAACTCCAGTCCTGGAGAGGTGGAGACAGGAAGATCAGAAGTTCAAGACCAGCCTGGAACTGTTAGCCTTATACTACTTTACCATTTCTGAGGCGTAGTAGTTGGTCACCAACACCAAACATGCCACATAGAATCTGATCTGCTATTTTCTCACAGTTTGTATAGTTAATTGCTTATATGCTCAGTGTTTTGTAATGTGAGAGGCTGGCCTAGGTCAGGAGCTGGAACTACATGGAAAAATCAGGTATCTGCAGTGAGCTCTTAGCCATTATAGAAACACTGGACACAGTGGCCAGGGTGCTCTAAAATACCAGATCTGCCCCAAAGGCAAAAAACCAGAGGGTTGAGCTTCCAAGTAGAAGTGATTTGTTCATTCACAACCTGACAACCTTACATAATTATAAAACTTGACAAACTTGATAAAGGAACATTAGCCATTTATTTCACCTCTGAACTTTTCGATTGAAACTTTATAATTGACTATAGCCAGAGCAAGTTACATAGCTTAAGCAAAAGAGGCTGAATTAGAAGAAAAATGAAAGCCAGGTGTGGTGGCACATGCCTTTAGTCCCAGCACTGGGAAGGCAGAGAAAGGGGGATTTCTGTGAGTTTGAGGCCAGCCTGGTCTATGTAACCAGTTCCAGACCAGCCAGAACTAGATAATGAGACCCTGTCTCAAAAAAGGAGGGTAGGGGGAAAGGAATAATGGTACTATTTATACTTCCTTTATCATAAATGTGGTCATGTGGTCCCCTAACACCTTGTAAGTAGATAATATTATACTGTTTAAAAGATGAGAACCTAAGTGCATGCCCAAAGGCCCTGAGGTGCTAGTAGTAGAGCTAGAATTCAAGGATGAGCCTTTGACTTCCCCTCTAATTAGAATCTTGCACTGTATTTGGTTTTATTTTAGTCCTCCTGGGCTAGCGGCACCTGGCTTACAACTTCACCAAGTTTAAAGTTGTAATTTACTTGGTATGAAATGTGAATTCCAGGGCTAGAGAGTTGGCTCAGCGATTAACAACACTGGTTGTTCTTGCAGAAGACCAGAGTTCGAATCCCAGCACTCACGTGGCAGCTAATAACTGCTCATAACTCCTGTTCTAGGGGATCCCACACGCTTTTGTGACCTCAGCAGGTACTGCATGACATGGATGCAGGCATAATACCCATACACAAAAAAAGGAAATAAATTTTGTTTTGGGTTTTTTTAGTTTTTTGTTTTTTGGTTTTTTTTTTTTTTTTTGGTCTTTTTGAGACAGGGTTTCCCTGTAGTAGGGCTGGTCTAGAACTCACTATGTAGACCAGGTTGGCCTTGAACTCAGTGATCTGCCTGCCTCTGCCTCCCGAGTGCTGGGACTAAAGGTGTGCGCCCCCTCGCCCAACTTAAAAATATTCTTTAAAAAACAGA